TTACATTGCAATAAAAACATCTTTTTTTGATATGTCACTGCACAAAAAAGAGCAACAGACAAGAAAAATGAAGTCAAAAAGAGAGATAAGCAAATTATGATAAAAGAAATAAAAGTTGCATAATTCATTTCACATTGACAAATATAGAAAAAGCAGACCGTGGAGAGAAGTGGACTGTTGGACGAAGAACGGCTTGGAGAGTGTGTGAGAGTGTGTGAAAGTGTGTGAACTCGCTGACTGTGTGACGGCCGGAGCATTTAGTGAATGTATGAATGTAAACAGAAGAAGACCAGGACACATTTATGTTCCTCTGCATCTTCACGTTGTGTTCGTCAGGGTTTCTGACCTGAATGAAACCAGAGATAACAACAGAATCCAAGAGGAGGAAGTTGAAATGCACATGCTTTTACACCTACTGTGTGTTGTTATATATTCTGTTCAGTTGTGTTTCTACATTATCCCAAATGTTTGCAACAATTTTCAAACCTAGAGAAATCCTGTATTAAGATAAGAGTACAGCACATGTGTCAAACTCAAGGCCCGGGGGCCAAATCAGGCCCTCGGTGGATTTAATTTCGGCCCGCAGGATAATTTCTAATTGCTATTAGATCTGGCCCGCCGGTATATTGCACGCACACCTTCACTCCATCCTGAGGGTCTCCTCCGCTCAGAGCCTGAGCCCAAACATTGATGACCTTGCACCCAAGATGAGATGCCAAGTATCTGAACTAGCATCACAGAGCAGCACACTGAGTTCAATGGATGTTTCCTTCTGCACTTTCTCTCTCACGACAACAGGGCATGTTTGGTTTGTTCTTTGAGGGAAATAGTTTTGTTGAAGCTGTTGTTGGCCTGTGGGGAAATGTAATCATAAGAAATGACTCTGGAAAAGCTGCAGATAGAGCCATAAGAAATTAATGCAACTGATTATTTAATGTTTAATGTTGTTTTTATAGGCAATAATTGAAGCTTTGTTAGTTCCAGGTTTAATATGTGCAACAAGTTCATTTCAATACGTTTTGCAATAAACATTGAACCAGTCCGGCCCTCGACTAGTACCCATTTTTTTTATTTCGGCCCACTGTGTATTTGAGTTTGACACCCCTGCTCTAAATGGTGTCGTATCCTTGTTGAGCAAAATGTAGTGCTGTGATTGTCTGCCAGAAGCTGTCTTAAACATACTTTTTTATCAAGTTTTAAGTCACATTTTTAAAATCCACTTTTTAAATCTGATGGAAGATTTGATTCATCGGACGACTGGATCTTAATTTACCAAAGAAACAAGCTGAGCGAATGTTAGCATGTACTAACAAAGGTCCATCTTAAAGGTCCCATGTCATGGCCATTTCTACTGATCATAATTCCATTGTTGAGCTCTACTAGAATAGATTTAAATTGTGCAATTTTCCAAACTCACATTGGTTTCTCACAGCATTTCTGTATAGTATGTGTATTCACTCTCTGTCCTACACGGCTTGTTGGAGCTCCTGCCCCCCCCCCCCCCCCCTGTGAGCCCAGTGACCGTCTGCGAGACAGCGAGACACAGCGAAACCTAGCCTAAACTAGTTCTGCGGTGTCTCGCCGACCTCACACCAGTGAGCCAACTCACAGTGTCCCGCTCCTCGCAGCAGCGAGCCTCGCAACGTCCCGCCGAGTGTGCGATGATTGGTCCAAACGTAACGGCTCCGCGGATTGGTCCATTTGGACCAATCTGAGTAGCCGTTACATTACGTCACTATACCCGAAATACGTCACTGTACCCAAGAAGTAAACAATGGAAAAAGAGAAATCTCCAACGAGGCGTTCTGGGGCAGCACAGACAGGTCTTCTCTGTGTTAGAGTTGTACTCGCTACAGGGTGTACTTTGAGGGTTTGTGACTCTGCAGACCGTTTACATGCAGAAAAAGCTACATAACTCACAAGGGGACGGGTAATAACCAGAAATGCATGACATGGGACCTTTAACTTATCTTACTCGCTCTGTGCAGATTAAACATGTAGAGTGCAGTGACCGACCTGCAGGAGCCACGTTTAGTTCAGGACATCAGCTTGGTGAGCTCAAGGTCAGCGGTTAAGCCTTCGCTAGGAGCACCAGCTCTGTTACTGAGGGAAGCCATGACTCAAACTCTATTATTAGGCATTCTGGCGTGGCCACTCAGCCCCCCTCCGTGCTTACAGTAGAATGCACCGATCCATTTGAGCTCCTCAGAGATCCTCATGGGAGCCTAAGTCTGGGGATAATCACCTGTAAGAATCACTGAGATTATGACAGGGGGAGTGAAAGGGGAAACAGAGAGTCAGAGGGGGGATTTCTTCTGCTTCAGCTGTTGGTGCTGCATCAATTACTACTGACACTCAGTGTAAATGTGCTTAGGGTTTTGAAGCAGTATTAGCTGTTGTCGTGTTAAGGTAATTCCAGAGTAGCTACGATGCTGTCCTACGATACAAATTCTTTAAAATAACTACAAAAGTGGTAGAAAGTAAAAAGTGTAAACATCATTTTAGGTTGGTATGCATTTGCTTTGGATTGTAATTATTATTTGAAAAAGTTAAAAGGTTATTTTGTCCATTTAGAGACGTGGATTTGAGTTGTAGAAACAACCAAAATAAACTAAAGTAAACATTTGCAATAGCGTGCATTTTAGTCATCTAGTTAAGTATCTATTTTCCCCTTTGTTTACCCCCAGCATAATGACAGAGGAATTGTCCAAAGGCATTGTGGGAAATGTAGGGAATCGCTAAGCAAAGCACAAGCAGGTAAGGCAAGTTAAGGGAAAGTGGACACAACATATATTCAATTAGAAAGATTTTGACATTACAATTTCAAGTTATGGTGCAATTTAGTGGAAAATGAAAAGGAAAGAAATGAAATACTGAAGCTACAGTTAGGTCTGCTGATGTGTTTATCTGCTTGTGCATTAGTGCATAGGGGGCCCTTTAAACCCCCACATGTGGCAGTGTTAGGCTCCTACAGTGTCAAGCTACATAAGGCCATTCAATGGGCAGTGGTAAAGAAGATTCTTAACACCAGAAGCAACTTTGCTGATCTGCTACAACGTGTCGGGTTCAAGATTTTCTTTTAGTTAGCTGATTTTTAAGAATGTCACAGTATGTAAACACAGGATTGAAGATAAACTGATTTAAAATGTAATGGCTGAGAATATGTGTGTTTACTCGAGTTCAATCATCGGATTTTCTTTTATATGTAGTGCTGTGAATCGTCCCTATGTCTGGTTTCACAGGCCTGCTCTAAATGATCTTAAATGACGCATTAGTGTATGAGTTCCAACATTAGTTCCTTCAGTCTGCCACTCTCCAGCCGGTCCGCGTTAATCAAGGTGCAACACACTTTTTTTCATCTTGACGTTCTTTTTCTCTTACAAGGCATGCATGCTGAAATCCAGTCTGGAAAGAAATGCAAACGAAAGAAAAACACAACTGTCCCTAGTAGAGTTACTACACAGCTTGATCATTCAAGAAACATCACGTAATGTAAACATGCCTTTTTCAAACGGCTCACAGGCTGTGCAGCTGATTGTGCAGAAGACTCTCGGTAGGGAGTAGGGAACGCCTGCACAAGCATTGTTTTACATTTTGAATGCAATCAAGAAACACTTGTTATGAAGTTGCACATATTAAAAAATCAGCTGCACAGACTCCTCGTGCTCTGTAGGCCTTCATGCCGTTAATCAGTTCCTTCAGTGAGAAATGCTTAAACAAAAATGAAAAAAAGACAGACAATTTACAGCAACATGTCCCAACCAACCCCGCACGCAAAGATAAATAAATCTATTTGGATATACTCTAAATGGATAAATAATATTACCATGATATACTCTATGTAACTTTATCAACAATAATTAAATATCTCAAGGATGGCACCATCGCTTTTTTTGAAAAAACAAAGAAGAAAAAGAATTCATGGTGATATACTTTTTATAAAATCTGTAATAAAGTGATGTCCTCTCTTCCCTCTCCTCTCGCTCCGTCTCTCCTCCGTCTCTCAGCACCCTGGAATGCTGGAAGTTTGGTTTGTGCTTTAGGAGAGACGCGAGTTCACGCGCCGTTTGTCCGTTTGGTCATTAGTTCCCCGCTCAAGTTTACGCAGAAGCAGAGCAGCAAGAGTCGTTACTGTCACCAGAAGCCCCTGGGGTCCATATAGCTGCCAACCAGCGGAGCACAGAGAGGCGAGGGATCGGGGAGAAAGAAGTGTTTATGATACTTGATGTGTTTGTGTTCAAATCATCTTTTGCCAAGAGACAAAACATAAACATCGTCAGTCTTCTCTTGGCTTTAGCTCGTGACAATGTTCCAACCGAGGCGACACTGATCAGACGCAGATCTTTCTCTCCTGGCTTCAGTCTAGGAAAACAAAAAGACCTTTGGGGATATCATATATGTTTTCTCACAAACTCCGCTCTCTAGACAGTTCTTCCGTTCCTCCCCGTGCCCGAGCATTGAGGCTGACACAGTCCAGAAGAAAAGCACCATGGGATTCATCGAACACCGCCGTCATCTTCCAAATGTCCCGGAAGAATACAAAACAGCCTCTCATCTCTTCTCCTCTCCTTAACCCTCGTCTTCTCATCTCCAGCCCCTTGAGGATTTAATTCCCCCACTTTAAAAGAAAAAAGGGGCAGAGGAGAGGGTAATTCGTTTTTTATTTTAAAGACAAAAAGTAGAAAATGGCAGTTGGGATATCTTCCCCATGAGACCAACATATGTTCATCATGTTCATTTGCAAAACAGATCTTTTTTCTTCCTCCTTCTCGACCATCAAAGTCGTTGAGACGGAGGTTTGGTTATTTTTACATTCTGTTTCCTTCAGGAGGGGTCATCTCAGTGCCGTCTTCATCAAATTAAAATCATAATGAATTCCCTCCCTTGCACATTCACCCCCCATTCACCCCCCTCTCCTCCTCCTCCCTCCTCCTCCTCCTCCTCCTCTCCTCCTCCTCCTCCTCCTCCTCCTCCTCCTCCTCAAACCTTAATTTCTTCTCTTCATCATCAGACGTAAGCTGATTCGCTGGACTGGGTGCGTCCGAGGTTTGGCGGCTGGGACAGGTGCGCCATGTCCTTCTTCCTGATCTCGCAGATGGACTTCCTGCGGGCCTGAACGCCTCGAATGGCGGCTTTAATCTTACGCCAGCCCAGGTGGTTGAGCTCGGCCAGGTTGAGCACCACGCAGATGCCGCTCACCGCGAACATGAACACCAGGAACACCGTTTTCTCCGTGGGGCGCGACACGTAGCACTCCACCTCCTTCAGACACGGGTAGCGGTCACACTCGAAAAGCCCGTGCACACTGAAGCCGTAGAGGAAGTACTGACCCACCAAGAAGCCGATCTCCAGCGCGTTTCTGAACACCACCTGGATTATGTAGAAGCGGGAGATGCCTTCTTGCCGGCGCACCTTGGAGCTCTTCGAGTGGGTGAGGCCTCGTGGCGCGTTGGGGATCTCCTTCACTTCCAGGCAGTCTGGTTCCTCCTTTCCTCCTCCTCCATCGCCGCCATGTTGAACGAGGATACCGTTGATGTTGCGGAGCTTACGAGTGCCGTCCCTTCCCCCGTAGTCCCTCTCCATGATGGGGTAGAGGAAGGAGTAGCGCCGTTCTTTCTGCTTGGCCGACTGGTGGACGGAGTAGGTGATGAAGCAGAGGCTGGGCGTGCACACCAGGATGATCTGGAAGACCCAGTATCGGATGTGTGAGATGGGGAAGGCCTTGTCGTAGCAGGCCTGGTTGCAGCCGGGTTGCAGGGTGTTGCAGACGAACATGGCCTGCTCGTCCTCGTACACGGTCTCTCCAACGATGGCCACGATCAGGATACGGAAGATCACCACTACAGTGAGCAGGATCCTGGAGAGAGGAAGAGAGAGAGAGAGATGGGGTTAATCGTCAGAGAGGCACAATGATTTACTGTGTCAGGAAGGATGAGATGTCCTCAGATATCCTTCCTAGGAATTGTACGTGCTCGGTGGAAGGATACAGTGACAAAGGAAGGAACGATAAGAGAGCAGGGAAAGGATGTAAATGAAGGGAGATTTTGTGTTGAATAATCAGCTTTCAAAAGATTAAAAATAGACATATTGCAATGTAATAATATCCCATGGTTTTAAAAAGCAAATGACACCTTCATTTGAAGCGACAGAAGAAAAAGCTAAAGTAGAAAATAGAAAGAAGACTCGAGCCAGAATGATGGCTGAGAGGAAGGATCTGAAACCTAAATCACAGCAGGGGCTTCATGAAGGACTCTGAACTGCTTCACTTGAAAAAAAAAAAAGAGTTTGCAGAGCTAGAGAAAAGAGACGAAAGGGAGAACTAAAAATGCAGGAGGGGCTCACCCTGACACATAAACTGTAAGTCACTGCTTCTCCTGATAACAACCAGAGAAGAAGAGTGCTCCAAATCTCAGCCAGAGTAAACATTGCAGAAGAAGAACGGTTGGGAGCGGAGCCTCGACGGGACGTCAGCGCTCATAACTCACAGCTAGTTATCAACACACAGTTTGTTTGTTTGTTTGCGTGTGTGTGTGTATGTGTGTGTGTAAACATCTTCACACACACACACACACACACACACACACACACACACACACACACACACACACACACACACACACACACACACACTATGTATGCATCACTTCAAGGGACATTACATTGACTTACATGCATTTCCTGGAGACTTATCCTAACCTTAACCATAACCAACACATGCCTAACCCTAATGTTACGTCCACACGGCAGCGTGCGTCGACGCTTGCCGGTGGGCGTGTCTGGCGTGCGACCAACAACCAATCACATTGACCACCCGCCCTGGACACACAAGCACGTGGTTTGATTGGCTAGCGCTTTTACTGGCATATGATTTGATTGGCTGGTGCTTCCTTTTCTCAACTTTTGAAGCGAGCAACGGAGGCAAAGCCACGCGACGGATCCACAATGCAGTTCGGCAAAGCGTGACGTCACCCCATTCAAAGTGAATGGGAAGCGTCTCCGTTGAAGCAACGCACGCTGCCGTGTGTAGGGGCCGTAACCCTAACCCTAACAAAGTCCCCATAAGGGAGGCGAGTCGCCACACTTGACTGTGTAAACTGATTTAGGTCCCCACAAGGATAGTAATGCTAGGTCACACACACACACACACACACACACACACACACACACACACACACACACACACACACACACACACACACACACACACACACAATTATCTCCATTGCTGACTAAACTTCCCTCTTTCTGCCTCACTGCCCTAGCAACAGGTGACACAGCGTGATGAACCTGGTTTGCAGATTAGCTGCTATTACTGTGTGTGGTGTTGTGAGATTACTGATGCAGGAACTGGGTTACCTTCAATTCACTCTTTAAGTGTGTGTGTGTGTGTGTGTGTGTGTGTGTGTGTGTGTGTGTGGTGTGTGTGTGTGTGTGTGTGTGTGTGTGTGTGTGTGTGTGTGTGTGTGTGTGTTGGTGTGTGTGTGATGACAGGTTTCCCCTCTGTTCCTTTTTTTGCAAACATCTCTCTTTTTGTTCTTTTCTTATTTTTCTCACCCCTCATTTATGTTTCATATCTGAGACCATGCGAGCACTTTAGACAGCAAGCTTTTTGCCTTCTGCTCAGTGTGCGAGCCTGTGTTGTGTAATCTGTGACTAAAGTCTGGAACAAGGCTGCAGAGTGACCTGGATAAAGTGGTTAATCTGTTGATTGAAGCGGCCCTATTATGCCTTTTGGGATTTAACTTTCCTGCAGAATGTCATATAGGTTTGTGTGCGTGTAAATGTTCTGCAAAGGCTAATACCTCGACTCCTTTGTTTACCTCGGCAACATGGTCAAATCACTAAGTAACACTCGCGCTTCTATTGGCTAGCGCTCCAACACATTGTACGTGATAGGCTAAGGGACAAGACATCTCTAAGTCGTTGTCCAATCACAACAGAGCCGGCCAGCTAACCAATCAGAGCAGACTGGGCTCTGGTTTCAGACAGAGGGTGAAAAGAGGTGCTGCAGCACAGACAGTATGAGACAAATAAAGAGCTTTTTGAACATTAAAGCATGGAGACATGTAGAGACACTACATACTGATATACACCTGAACATCAGCAGGAGAGGACTCTTTAAAGTAGAGACACTACATACTGATATACACCTGAACATCAGCAGGAGAGGACTCTTTAAAGTAGAGACACTACATACTGATATACACCTGAACATCAGCAGGAGAGGACTCTTTAAAGTAGAGACACTACATACTGATATACACCTGAACATCAGCAGGAGAGGACTCTTTAAAGTAGAGACACTACATACTGATATACACCTGAACATCAGCAGGAGAGGACTCTTTAAAGTAGAGACACTACATACTGATATACACCTGAACATCAGCAGGAGAGGACTCTTTAAAGTAGAGACACTACATACTGATATACACCTGAACATCAGCAGGAGAGGACTCTTTAAAGTAGAGACACTACATACTTATATACACCTGAACATCAGCAGGAGAGGACTCTTTAAAGTAGAGACACTACATACTGATATACACCTGGACATCAGCAGGAGAGGACTCTTTAAAGTAGAGACACTACATACTGATATACCAACAAGTCCTCCAACTCATACGACCAAATGGGTCGATTGTTTAAGCGCTTAATACGACCTATAATTACGTTTTAAAGTTGTCGGCCTCTAGTGCTCCCGTTGAATGCAAACGTTACAGATGGTCGTTTATTCACAAATAACCCTCTCTGTAAAATCCTAAATTGTAGGATAGTTTGGCCATTAAAACGCTTTATGATTAGATTTCTAGCGAGAAGTATATATTGTACTTTTAGAATCCACGTCCAGTCGTTATGTAGGATCTATAGTTTGATAGATATTACGAAGATGATTTGAGGTTTCATCAGGAGAACGTGTATATGCGGCAAGCTTCCATGTAAAGTTACGGGTTGAAAACAGTATTTCCGGTCTCGACGTTTTCATAATAAAACCAATGATCAAATGATTTAACCGTGATATCTGCAGTACTCATCCACTAAAAAACATCAGTTTATCCTAGTTAATTATACGACATTAATTGGTTTAAATTGTGTACAATGCTTTTGTGTTTTTCCCATAGGGTTTTCTCTTTAGATTCTGAGAGACACATTTCTTTTTTCATAGGTTTTGATAGGCTAAAATCACGCCGCAATGCACGTCGGGATATGGTGTTTATGTGATATGAAATCGGAAAACATTTAAAAAAAATTAAAAAAAAACTTTATTCCGAGTGTTCTTGCTTTTCTCTTTGAAAGTCATCACATAACGGCATTGTAATACACGGTTCGGCTGCATTAAATATTACATATCTGCCGTAGATATGTATTTATAGAGCCCTGATCAGAAGACCTTTTGACAAACTGGAAGAGATGCCGCCAAAACTGAATACGTGACGTGGACCATAAATATCAACAATTAAACAACATCTTCCATTTCTTTTCACACAATACGTCTCCTTGCAGTATCAACACTAATTCGGCTGACTTTTATATTTGATCCAATAAGTAGATAGTCTGTATTTACACCATAACGGTGCACAGCTGATAGAAAGGGATTTTTTTGTAGTTTTTAAAGATATTACTGATTTTCTGAACTACCTTTCCAACTCCTCATGCAGTTGACTGTTACAGGTCGATAAAAGTTTATGGTACAATGCATAAGCTTCACATTGAGAGACTGAAACTGTATTTTCCTTTACCGTTCTGTTTTAATTTCACAATAAAGTGAATAGTCATATTATGTTTGATATTATTATGTTTTATTAACTAGACCACTGGTCTAAACCGTACCTCCTAGTGGTTAAAGCACGTTATTGAATTTAGTTGTTGAATAAGTTTAATTTTTATGAAAACATTTAAATATTAAGAGTAGCCTACATACAAAATAGGGGTCAATGATAGAAATATAGAATAGAAAATATCAAGAAGATACTGTAGTGATCTCTACAATAAAACAGTTTAGTGCAGGACGTCCAAAGATATTAACAGGTGGATGTGCAAAACAGACAAACTGATAAGGCTGAATTTTACTCAGGTGTAACAAAAGTCTGATTTAAGGGTTGTTTATATTTCACATCATTAATCAGAATCTGCAAAGTAACAAAAATAAATGTAGTAGAGTAAAAATACCAGGTTGACCTCTGAATTGTAGTGGAGTAGAACAAAGTAGTACATGCTGCTGTAACAAAAACATTTCCCAAATTGGGATCAATAAAGTATCTTATCTTAAGATGATCGATGGCTACTGCCATATTTGCTAAATGTGCATCTGAACCTTGACAAGTGCATGTTTCAGGCTTATCAATTAACAACAGGAGGGGTCACAGACATAAGACCAGCTGTTAAATAAAGCTCTTCTGACCTTAGCTGTCATGTGGGTATATTAATGCTGCCCATTATGGGCACAAGCAATTTTCACCCATGTATTAATTATATGTTTTAAATTTGATAACACCAATGTGTTTCGTATCCCCTAAACCTCCAGGGATGTATACAGTTTAATACTGGCAACTTCTAATTGTGGGAAATACGAAAACGTCTTATAAAACTACAATTCCCAGTAGAGACGTGCCATAGAACATATTGCGAAACACACAATAGCCAGCATGTGTAATTCTGTGGGGGAGGGCTGGGCTGGACCCGTCCAAGTCCAGTTTTGGATTGTCTGGCGTGGTTCCATTCCATTTCAAAGAGCTGTTTGACATTCGGCGTAACCTTGTCGCACTGCCACTCCAACATCCAATCACAGAGCTTGAGGGCTAATCACGGGGTTTGTAAAGCAAGGCGGATGTTGTAGTCCCAAACGATAGCTGGGGA